ATAATAATTTACTAGGACTGCCTCAATGTTAGACTGATATTGTAAATCTTGAGATAATAAACAATTAGAATTTGAGTGTAATTTAAATATAAAATCTTTTTACTTGTATTATCACGTAGCTACTCCCATCTTTGCGTTCTTAACTGTACATAAATCTATAAGTAGGGTACTATGTTATAATAAACACGTAGTTTCACAAATATTTGTGGCACTCTCATGGCGTAATGTTGGCCCGAATCCCTTGATTTACTGTTCTACAGCTAATTTAAGACTAAACGTTATAATTTAGACCTATAACGCGACAAATATAATCAGAACTCGCCGTGTGAGCTTCCTTCCTGTGCCATGTGTAATTAGCAGACGAACTTTTTATACTGACATCGTGTGGATATCATTTTTTTTTTACTTTTGGTGTAGGATTTTGATATTTATTGTAAGTATACTGTGAAGAGAACTTCAACCTTGCAACGTCCACATCACAAGACACAATACACGTGTCTCGTTTAAATATGCGTTCCAAAAGAAATCTGGAAAATAAAAAAATACATTAAAACATTTTTAATAGCTATTGCAAAATTAGATCTCATGTTTTATGAGATAAATCTATCAATTGTGAATATTAACACTTAAAATGAATCATTCTTTAAGCGCTCTGACTGACGTTGTGAAGCTATAAATCACGATGATGGAGTGTGAAATTCTTGTATTAAGAAAATATGTTCTAGCTTCGGAAAAATATCTATGAAATATGGGATAATACATGGTAGTTAATTATTATTATGAAAGCTATTCTAATGTCGAAAAAATACATTGAAAGAAAGTTTGATGACTGTTTCAGAGCCGATCTAGATTTAATAGGGTAAGTCCAGGGGACAGGGATAATAACCATAAAATCATGTATTTTCAAGTTCATCAACACTTATTTTTCTCCATAAGTCCTGAGGACTCGTAACATAACTGAATCGTCATCCTCATTCAGAGCATTATTGGTTTACACCAGAATTCCAGCCTCCATGCAACTACGAGAATTTTCGAGACAGCATGCAAGAGAGATCTCTTGCTTGTTTGTTGTAATTGGGTAATTGAATTAAAATAAATTTTTATT